ATGGAGCATGGTGTTGGAACCATGGTAGGTACGAGTGTCCGGGTTGTGCCGTAAGGAGAGGGAATGCATGGTAGAGAGGATACGAGGAGAAAGGAAAAAGAGACACCCCCACAGGGCGTTTGTAACACTCACCTGCGGGACGCAACTATCAGATCTACGACAAGGAGCTCCTAGCAGTCGTTCGCACGTTTGAGACCTGGCAACACTACCTCAAAGGATCCCCCCACATTCTCCAGGTCATTTCTGACCACAAGAATCTCACCTACTGGCGGTCCACGCAGAAGCTGACCCGACGCCAGGCCCGATGGAGTGCATTCCTTGGCCAGTTTCACTTCAAAATCCACCACCGGGCCGGGAAGACCTTGACCCAAGCCGACGCCCTGTCCCGCCGCCCCGACCATGCGGATGGGAAGCATGACAACAAGGATGTTGTTGTCTTAAATGACGGGGTATTTATTCGAGCTGTCACTGATGATCTACTGCTACGAATCAAGGACACCACCCAGAAAGACACCAAGGTGGTACAGACTAGCCGTCATGGACGTCTAATCCTTGTCAGGCCACCTCCGTATGGCAAACCTGAAGACTGGAAGCTGGACGATGGAGTTGCCAAGTACCAGGGCAAGATCTACGTATCTCCGAATAAAAACCTACGACGCGACATTGTCTGGATACATCACGACCCGGCAGTAATGGGCACCCCGGACAGGACCAGAACATCGAACTCGTCTCATGTCAGTACAGTTGGGGCGGAATGGAAAACTTCATCCGCAAATTCGTTCAAGGATGCGCTATCTGCCAAGGATCCAAGGTTAACACCCACCCCGTGAAAGCTCCCGCCATGCCTATTCCCCACGCAGGAAACACGCGACCGTTTTCAGTCATCACCATGGATCACATCACGGGCCTTCCAATGTCCAACGGATTCAATGCCATTCAAGTGGTAGTAGATCACGACTCCACCAAGGGCGCAGTCATCACCCCTTGCACTATCAACGTCACCGCCTTGGAAGCAGCCGAACTACTGTTCCGAGATGTCTACAAATGGTTTAGAGCCCCTCAGAGGATCATATCCGACCGAGGACCCCAGTTCGCGTCCAGGGTTTTTCAAGAACTGCAACGACTCGTAGGAGTCAAGACTTCTCGATCCACGGCGTATCACCCCCAGACGGACGGACAGACAGAACGAGTCAACCAGGAGATCGACTTGGCTCTGCGCATCTACTGCCTCAACGACCCGGACAGCTGGTCGGACAAACTCCCCGCATTCGAGTTCTGCCACAATCAACGCAAGCACTCCATTACGGGCAAGTCTCTGTTTAAACTCATCATGGGCTACAACCCCGACGTATTCCCCAACTCCCTCTCTCCATCCACGCACCCAAGTGCAGAAGAACGAATCCAGCAACTCCTCAAAGACAGAGCCAACGCGGAAGCCGCGCACAATCAAGCAGCGGAGATCATGGCCCGAAGGGCTGGAACCAAGCTGGTCATGTTCAAGAAAGGCGACAGGGTCCTCCTCGAATCAACCAATCTCAGACTCCCCTATCCCCACCGAAAGCTAGCTCCAAAAAGGGAAGGACCCTTCGAGATCGACAAGATCACCGGCCCAGTCACGGTTCGGCTGAAACTCCCCAAGGCCTGGAAGATCCACGACGTCTTCCATGTGAATCTACTCAAACCTTATCGAGTCACCAAGGAACACGGTCCAGACTACCCCAGACTGCCTCCGGAGACCGTAGAAGGCGAAGAAGAGTGGGAAGTCGAGGCCATCTTAGCCCATCGGAAACGTGGGAAAGGCTATCAATACTTCGTCTCTTGGAAGGGCTGGCCTAGCAGCGAAAACTCGTGGGTTTCCGGGAAGGAGATGACTAATGCGCCGAAGCTCCTCACCAAGTACAAGAAGCAACAGCGACTCTAGGGAACGACCTCAACCCACTCCGCTCTCCCACCAATCCTCGCCATGCCCCAACTCGCCTCCACCTACCGCGCTGCCCCCGAAGACGTCTCCACCCCCCAGTGGTTCCTCGACCACGACTTCCACCTCTCTTTCCTCCACCTACCCGGCAACGAAGTCGCCGGATACGGTGAGCCCTCCCCACGCCAATACGTTGGGTGGCTCCTTCTGCAACCCAACCCGGAATTGCGCAACGTCTTGGAATGGCGATTCCGGGACGTTCCGCCCGCCCGTCATGCCTGGGCCATCTATGGCGAGTCGGTCGTCACCCTCACCCACCTCCGGACCCTCGACTGGGACGTCGGCGAGCTCACCGACCCAACTGGCCAACGACGGGCCTACGACACTGTCTCCCAGCTGCGGGCCACAACAATCGCCATGTCCGACCACGCTTTAGATATCATTTGCGCCCCCCATCATCTCTTTTTCATTGCTGACCTCATCAACCACATAGAGCAGGTTGACCGTGAACACGAGTGGACCTGGCTGGAGCGCATCCTCGCCACCAACGACAGCCACACCGCCTCACCTATCCCCCCCACCCCGCCTCTGCCCACCCCGGAATGGGGAAACCCGGCCGACGTCTCCGGATGGGGCGACACCAACGTCGACTGGAGCAACACTAACTGGGGGGACGTCCCCATGGATGAGGCTGACATGGAGTGGTCCCCCCCTGTACAACCTCTGCACCGCTCCCCTCCCCCCGCGACTCCCCCTCCCCAACACCGTAGCACCTCCGCCCAATGCTCGCTCGCCTATGCTCCGGCACACCCCCTCCAACCCGTACACGCCCCTCTCCCTGCTCTCCCAGCCCCACCCCCCGCTCCCCAAGCCCCATCGACGAGAATGAACCCCCCTTTGCCATAGTCGTCGACTCCGCGTCGCCTCTGGAGTGGCCGACCTCAGCCGTCTGAACGGTCCTCGACACCATCAGTGGAGGCGACCTCACTGACACCACCGACCCCAACACCCTGTCCGCGCCCCCTGACCCTCCAACTCCGCCGCTCCGCCAACACACCCCTCGCACCCCCCCGTACCCCGCCCCCGCCCCGGGCCCCACCACAGTCCACTATCAGATGCCCCTCCTGGGCCACCCAGCATACGGGGGGGCCCTGTCACAGCCAACGAGCTGTGCCACCAAAACAAACAAGGGCAAAGCTTACTGATGCAGAGGTTGGTGCTGAGATGCGAAGCAACCAGAGGTGACACAGTAAGAGATGTGAAGAGGTGTATTCCCTAGACTAGAAGGGGCAGTAGAAGGTAGGGCTGCTAGCTACCTACGGAGAGATGGGGGATCAACGAGAAGATCAAGTCTGAGGTTCCCTGCCTCAGACCCCCCACTATTTATACTACAGTTATCAACCACCCGATGTAACGCTCAAATGTTTTTGGGCCGTCCTCATTCAATTCTGGGGCTACGGCTGCAATTCTGGTACTTGTAGATAGCTACACATCTTGTACGGGCCATATATTAGCTTACATCCCGTTATAGTGAGAGCTTTGCTTGTGTAGGCGTGATTATACCCGAGTGCCTCCAACTAGGCAACACTGCCCAATGTAACACAAGCAATTTGGCCTTTTCATAGGATCCTCCAGTGCGCAAAAAGACTTTCAAATCATTTAGAGCCATTATGAAGATGTTTTCACCAATTTTGAATTAACCCCAACTTGCCTAGGCAGGGTAGGCCAGTATGTTCCGAGGGCCATCACCACAGCATCAACAGGTAACATATGCTATTCTGCAGAGAGCAGGAGGCTCTATCATGCCACACACCTTTTTTCCCTTCTATACTTCTAGGAAACATTGCATAGTAGTGTCAATATAATTCTAGGTGCATACTGGTGTATCCTGTTTGCCAGATTGACATCAAGTCATTTCTGAATAATTCTGAGCCCCTCATATGGTCCAAAATCCTGTACTAAATGTGCCCATCCCAAAGCAACTTGAAGGTCTTTTCTCACTGAATCTGGCAGACATATGCGTTCAAGCTCTCTGTATATTTCACAAAAAGAACAAGGAGGCAAGCGGAACAGCTCGCTGAGATATGAGCAAATTGTCACACCTGATGGTGGTGTCACGTCAGCCGGTTGATGACTGTAATACAATGGTGCACAGACCAGGTACCTGTTGACCATTGTTTGGTCAGAGTTCTCTGCCTTATGTCCTACCTCCTGACCTGCCTTATGGTATCCCTATGACTAATATCTGAGTCGTGCTGAGTCCGGACTTCCTCCGATAAGTAAGCGCCCCTGCTGACAGGTGAGTCACTAGTCAGTAAGTGATGATGGGCAATTCCGGGCCCCACAAGGTCTGGGGTTCGATCCTGACTGCTCCAGTTTCCAATATGAGTTGTCTGTAGTCAAGGTGAGCATCTGTCCTGGTACACATGACCCCCTGGTCATGTGGCACGAGAAAACTGTAACACTACCCCCTCTTCAAGATCTGAGCTCCTGCGAAGCGTTCAAACCAGATATTGCACTGAAACTCCTGGGCGACTGGTTGTGGATTGTTAAGAGCAATTGGCTACGATGCATTCGGGTGGAGAGCATAGAACTCGTCAAGTAGTTCCTTCATGTATTTGACATTGTGTACTGGCTCCCAAGTTGCTTCCGAGATGTCGTAGCCAGCCCACTTGACAAAGTACTTGTGGCGGAGACTAGGTGCGACGGCCCGAGGCTCAGCGGTCGGCGCCGAGTCAAGCATAGCGTAAGACTGAGGATGTAGGAGGAGAGGAAAAGAGAGGGGGTATACAAGGCAGAGGGCAGGCGGCGGAGCGGACAGAGAGGTCTCGCACGGCACGGCACCGACGTACCAGGGAACCGAACCAATGGTCGAAAGGGCCGGGGCGGCACGGAGGCACAAACCTACCGGCAAGACGTAGCGGCACGCAGGCACAGGCTAGTCCCCAGTGACGTAAGTATATTGACAAGTACGGGGATACAGACAGTAACTCGCCTAGTCCCCAGTGACGTAAGAGGTCGAGATGGGGACTAGGGGCTAAAGGGCTCTACTCTATATACCTGTAGACCGGTGCACAGACCATGTAGCTATTTGTATGTGTTTGGCACAGCCAGAGGCTTGAGGGCTTAAGTACTAGGCATGAGGCAGAGGGGGTGTATGTCGTACTAACTACTGTGGGGGGATCTTTATCTAATCTAACGATCGTGAGGCCATGAGGGAGGGAGCGTGGTGGTGGTGCACTGCTGGGGGTATAGGCGCTTAGACTGAGTACCAGGAACATGGATGCCGACGTGAGGCTGCACGTGGCGAATGTCGTGGTGCTGCTAGAAAGGGGGCGCTGTACTGAGCGCTGGTGGGCTTGGAGGGGGGGACGGCGGATTCCGAGGTATTGTTGGTGCTGAGAGGTGGAGAGTCCCGGTCCGTACGGTTGGGGAAGGCAGGCAGAGGGTGTCATGGGCGCTATGCGGAGTGTGGCTGTGACAGTACTGGACATATCCACGGTTGACAAGCAGATCTAAGATCTTTTTGCCCTCAAACTCATCTGGCCTTCAACTTCGATAGGGTCAGGTTTCTCTGGGTTACAGTTGCCAATCTTGTTTTCATGGTAGGGGATAAGCTTTAAGCATGAAAGACGGGATAGACCTTATTCTGTGGCGAAAGCTTGACTCTAAAGTCGACAGGTCCGATCTTTTCCGTTATCCCATACAGCCCATAGTTCTTGGCTGAGAGCTTGACTGACAAGTTATGGATTTTGAGGTCACGTCCTTTGAGCAAAACTTTGTCGCCAACCTTGAAGGGGGGACCCACATAGCCTTGGTCATGATACCATTTCATCCGTTTAGTAGCCATGGTTGTCACGAACCGCCCCTACGGCGCCATGTTTCCTTTTCGATTCGAACCATTGCCTCGTACGTCTCCTTATTGTTCACTACTCATTATGGTTTTCCTCTGTCTGCACACGGACAATAGCTCCCTTTGTTCCTACGTCCGCTATTGTCCTATGTCCCTTGTACTCTGTACCCATGGCGACACTATTGTTCTCTAGCGCCCATTGTTCGTTCCCTGTATATAGCTGGATCCCTTGCTACCTAGAGACTCTAGTTTTGACCTCTTGTCTCCAGGTAAGCCATCGTGTATTTTGCTCTGTGGATACTTCACTCAATACACACCTTGTCTCCAGTCCTGCCTGTTGAGCCCCGCTCCAGTCTCACTGCAATCAGAGCTCGTCGGCGCTCCTGCCTGCCTCGCTCGTCTCCACTTACTCGCTCGACAGTCAGTCGTAACAGATGGGGCCCATGTGGTTTCCCGAGTGTCTGCTCCATCTCCACTAGAATGTCTGTTTTTCCATATCAGTGCCTGGCACCACTTACCGCACTGCTCCACTTAGTGTCAGTGTTCCACTAACTCCGGTCGGACCTCCTCCTCTGATATCTCTGATTCAAACTTGAGGAACACCGGCTCCATAGTATATAAACCTCTGGACTTAGTACAGTGTTCCTCAGTTCAGATATCTTGTTACATCACTTCCTGCCTGCTACACTATCTATTATCCCACTCCAATCTATTCTTTCTGTCTCTGTCCGTTCTCCGACCAACCTCCGACTCTGAAATCGAGGACACCCTTGGGTTCCTCAGGGCATTGCCAATAGCTTTGTCAAAGTCCTCGCTCCGTGTCCACCTGGTCCTGACTCTGACCTCTGGGACTCCAGAACTCCGGCGGCACAGTCCTAATAATATATCCAAACTCAGCCTGAGATGTCACGGACGTTGGACAGACACCCCTTTTTACCGTCCATTCCCTTCCCTTTGACGCCCACCTTCCATTTTCGGACTGTTTTCTTTCCTAGCTCATCCCAGTTTGGATACTGTAGATACGTTCCCACAGCCGCATGCTACGTTCCCGTGATCGCCATGCCTTTGCCTTTTTCTTCTCGCCCTTTGTTCTCCCTTTGTCATCTTCACTGCCTCGCTCTCGTGCCTTGTCCTTGGTTGCTAAGCTGCCCCTCTAGTATATAAGGACCCCCCTAGGCGCTCCCTAGTCCCCATCTCGACCTCTTGGTCATTGGGACTAGGTGAGTGGCCATAGTGTTGTATTTCCCTTCGAGCGCTAATGTATAACTTGGTCATTAGGACTAGTCTGTCGCTGTCTGCGTGAAGACTAGCTTTCGTAGGTCTCGTGCCTTCGTGCCGACCTCCGCTCTGCCCTCGTCGAGTTTTCTGTCACGTTTATCCCTCTCCCCCTCCCTTTTCCCTTTCGGCTCCTTGCCGCTCGCCCACGGGGTCGTCGCCGAACGTCGACCTGAGTCTACGTGTTACAAACGCCCTGTGGGGGCGTCTCTTCTTTCCTTTCTCCTCGTATCCTCTCTACCATGCATTCCCTCTTCTTACGGCACAACCCGGACACTCGTACCTACCATGGTTCCAACACCATGCT